GAAAGTCAGCCTGATTAATTGGGAGATTACCAATTAACTAGAGATAGGACTAGGAGAGAAGTAAGAGAGCATGTTAGGTATGGAGATTACCTTTCACTTGCTGTTTTGTCCTATCATGACTTAGTGTTTAAAGAACCAAAATCTTATGAAGAGGCAATGAGCTGCAAGCAGTCTGAGAACTGGCATGCTGCTATGATAGATGAGATGGACTCCTTAATGAAAAATGAGACTTGGACTTTAGTTCCAAAACCTGCAGGTAAGACCCTTGTTGATTGCAAGTGGATCTTTAGTGTTAAGGAGGGAAATACTGAAAAGATGCCCATAAGATTTAAGGCTAGACTTGTAGCGAAAGGATTTACGCAAAAAGAGGGGCATAGATTATAATGAGATATTTTCACCTGTGATAAAGTATACAACAATTAGAGTTATGTTTGCCCGGATTGCTTATTATGATCTTGAACTTGAATAAATGGATGTGAAAACTGCTTTCTTGCATGGTGACCTTGATGAAGTGATTTATATGAGATAGCCACCTGGTTTTATTGATGAAACTAAATCTGATCATGTGTGTCTGTTAAAAAGATCATTATATGGTTTAAAGCAATCTCCACAACAATGGTACAAAAGGTTTGATAATTTTGTATCTACGATTGGTTTCATAAGAAGTGAATATGACCATTGTCTTTACTTTAAAAGAAATGATGAAAATGCTATTGCTGCATTTATACTTCTTTATGTGGATGATATGTTACTGATTGGTCAGAATATGCATGTTATTAATCAGATAAAACGGTCTTTAAGTGCTGAATTTGAAATGAAAGACCTAGGACATGCAAAGAGAATCTTAGGTATGGAAATCACTAGGAAAAGGCACCATAGGTTACTGTACTTGGAGCAAACTACATATATTGAAAAAATGTTGATTAAGTTTGCCATGCATAACTCTAAATCTGTTTCACTTCCATTGGCCAGCCATTTTAAACTTAGTAAAGAGCAATGTCCTGTAGATGAATCTGACATTAGGCAAATGGAAAATGTACCCTATGCTAATGCCGTAGGTTCTGTCATGTACACTATGGTATGTACTAGGCCTGATGTAGCTCATTCCATTAGCACACTTAGTAGATTTATGGCCAATCCAGGACCAGACCATTGGGTTGCTCTAAAATGGCTGTTGAAATACTTGAAAGGATCTTCACATGTTGGTTTAATCTTTAGTGCTTGTAATGAAGGTGTTGTACTTAAGGGTTTTGTAGATTCAGATTTTGCCGGAGATAGAGACAATAGAAAATCTACTACTTCTTATATGTTTACTTTGTGTAATACATGTATTAGTTGGAAATCTCAATTTCAACCTATTGTTGCTTTATCTACTACTGAAGCTGAGTATGTTGCTGCAACTGAAGCAATAAAAGAAGCATTATGGCTTAAGGGCTTATTATCTGAAATAAATGAATTGAGTAACCCTGTTGTCTTGTATTCAGATAATCAAAGTGCAATTCACTTATGTAAAAACCCTGTTTTTCATGAAAGAACAAAACATATTGATGTTAAGTTGCATTTTATTAGAGATGTTTCTAAAGAACTTATTTTACTTGAGAAAATTGCAACTCAGTTTAATCCAGCTGATGTAGGTACTGAGGTAATACCTTTAAACAAGTTTAAATCTTGTTTACAAATTTTGAACATTGATGCTGGTTAAGTGTTTTGTTTTGTACAGGTGCTAAGGTTGATGCTTGTTGAGAATGCTGGGAAGCTGTCTTCTTGAGAAGGACATTTAAATTGTGTTTTACATTTATTAGGCTTCTTGTATGATCACTGGCATCAAGGTGGAGATCTGTTGGGCTGTGATGCCATTTGATCCAGTCCAACTATTAGGCAATGATGAAAAGGCCCAAATATGGATTCAATACTTGGTCCATTAATTAGATACCTAGAAGGCCCATTTAACCGAGCCCACTACTCAGCCCACACATCTTAGTCGCTCTTGGACCATTGGATTGACCCGCTAATCAATGGTTGATGATATTAACTATAAATAGGATCCTTAGCTCGTGTTTGGGAGCTGGATCGTCATTCTGTTCTCTGATTTTTCTCTCTGCCTTCTGGAACCTTCGTGTTCTTCTTCTTTGTGACTCTTCCTTCTTCTCTGTGTGAGAGTTCTGGTTGATTATCTTTGTGATAATTGTGTTCTTATGTGATTCTCCTTTGTGTGAGTAATCTGTTGAAGGTAGGCAGCCCGTTTTGGTTTCCAGTGAAGCGACCTTGATGTGTTGGGGTTATGAGGGCTTGTGTTTGAGTCTCGGTGCCTCTGTGATGGTGTAAGGGGCGTGGTCTGAGTCTATAATTGAAAGATCTAAACCTTGATGTAGTGGTTTAAGATTTATATTGTAATCTGCAGTTTCCATATTTAGGTTGAATATTTTCAGATCTTATTTTAATAAGTTAGTTAAATTCAGTTAGCTCATTCCATCTAAAGACAATATTGTATGGTTAATTGATTGATTGAAATGAGAATATTCTTTTCCCAATTTACATTATACTCGTTTACTCTCTAGTTTGAGAAGGATGAAAAAGCACGTGGCTTCCCTTGAGAATATTGTTGAACTATTCTTGGTGTTGTACAATTGTTTTTTGTATTCTTGTTTCCTGATTTATTAGAAGGCAATTGGCTTTTATTTATCTTTGTTTGCCTCCATTTTAATGAAATTTTGAGGCAAAATATATTTTGGAATATTTTTTTTTGAAAAATGTTTGATTATAAAAGGATGAAGTGTTTTGAGTTTACGTGTAATATTATTTTATTGAAAAATGTGTGATTAAAAAGAAAATTGAAAAATATAAAATCGAAAGGTTTATTTTATGATGAAAGGGACCGTAACAAGAAGTACTGGGAAGCTCTTAATTAAAAATCCAAGTCAGCTCACACAAATAATCATATTATGAAGCCTACGTGGCATTTCACGTGGAATGAAATCCCACACGAAGCTAGTTGAGGCCCATTTCCAACATGGCTAAGGTAAATTGTCGAAGCCTCCAGTCCGATGTAGCCAAAGCTTGGAGCTCATATTCAAAGTACACTCACGACCCACCTTCTTAGAAGATCTCATAGTGATAAAATCCTATTCGAGGGATTGATGTGTCATTTATAATGAGTAATATGTCAAAGTCTTGTCAACATAGATTGTAGGATGTATGTTTCTTTTAAAAGCATTAAATGCGTTACAGGCTAGTGAAACCTAGAATATGATGCTTCAATTAAGGAGATGAAGTCACTTGTATCCTCATCCATTGTACACAGTTTCATATATAACATTATAAACACCCCATTGTATCATTTGAAGGATAACCTAACTATATCAATTCAATACTACAAATCCTTTTTTCTTGAGTTAAATCTCTTTATATATTGTGAGAGTGAATATTTGATTCTAGGCTTGGAGTGTGTGTTATTGATTGTTCTTTATCATACAGTTCAGTTTATATATGTTGTTGGCACCCAAATATTTTTGTCTCATGTCATAAAGCATTTTCACGCTCTAATCCGAAACTTTTTGTTGACTAGCAATTCGTCCAAGCGTGTTGGAATTAATGTGCGTGGACGAATGAACCCAGTATTTATAGTACAGGTCTACTATACAAAAGAGAGGTCAACAAGTAGTTTATTAACTACAACTTTGAAGGTAACTAACCAACATTTTTAGGATATTTTCACGTAAATAATCATATAATGATAAAACTTAAGGGATTTTATATTAAAATCTATTTAGTTAGTTCATAAATATTAATGTACAAAATCCTATTGATAATTCAGTAGTTTCTTAACTACGAATTTGAAGGTATCTAAGCAACTTTTTACGATATTTTTTAGAGCCCATTACGAATTTTCTAAGTTTGCTTATGGAAGTGTATGTATTCTCATCAATTAACGTATATAAAATAGATAAGCTAAGAGAGAGAATTACAATTTTTTCATTGCATATAGTTTTTGTTTGGGCTCCATGAAAATTAGTTTTTAGGGAGAAATGTATTTTCAATAATTAATTTTGTTTACATATTTCATAAGACTCACAATTTTCAATTATACGTTTCATCAATTTTAATCTACACCTAATAATAATCTGATTTTAATCCTCATTAAACATGAGCTAAATATTTGTATTTATTTTGAGATGCAGCACACTTCATCTTAACTCGCGATAATAAACCAAACTTTAATACACCACATGTAAAAAGTGAAACCTGAATCAATAAATCATCCTTTATTCACTTCATTTTCAAAATTTATCATTACATGCAAACTATCAACTTCCTTTTAGAATAATAGTAGTACTTAAAATGGATTAATTTGCCACGATTTTAAATATTTTTGTTACTCTTATCCCTTGATTTTGACCTCTTCTTTGATTTTCTTCTAATCTTTTTATTTTGGTTATAATTTGTTCTTTTCTTTTTGCCATATCTCTTAGAAACATACTTTCTTCTTTAGTACCATTTCTAGACTCAATTTTAACTTCTAAGTATCTAGACCTTATAGCATCGTTGACATTTTTTTGAGTTAAATACCACTTACAAATGTACAGCATTTTCAACGTCTTTATAAGACGCAGGTCAAGAGTTTAGGAGAATTACTTCAATATCTTCATTTGCAAATGTCTTGTCATTGGGAGATAGACTTTTAGCAAAGATAAATCACTGGATTCTAAATTTTTGAGATGTCCATTTTAACGGAATAGTTTTTCTATTAAGCATATCTTATTAGGCAATGTCTTTGTCAAAACAATGTATCAAGAGCAGTCCACAAATCTCTAGTAATTTTTGAATCATCAATTTGCCTAATAGTGTAATTAGATAGATATAAAATTATAAAGTTATATGCAGTCTCATTCATTTCTTCATTTTTTGTAGTCTCGGATAATTTAGGTGAATGATCAAGGGCCTTGGAGACCCTCTTTGAAACAATATGACCCTCATTTTTTATTTATTTTTTTTCAAATGGCTTAGACACCCTTTTCACTGAAAAACGACAATTTAGCCATCAAACTCGTGTCAAGTTCTCTGTCTATTTTAGTCAGTGGCGAATCCAGCATCAATGTTAAGCTATCGCGGAGGTTGACTTTGACCGTTGATCTTCGACAATCAACGATCGTAAAAGCCTGGTCTGATCTGCAGCCAATCCTTTATTAAAATCAGATTAAATAATATTAAAAATTATTCAATATATATGTAAATGCACTAAAATCTAGAAATTATATACATATGAAAATATTGTTCAATACAACCCAAAATGCTAAAAAAATATAGAATACAACCTTACTTCTTAGTTGTAAGCTTAGACAATTGAATTCTACGAGGTCGCATATTTTGAAAACGTTGCAATATTGTCTCATTCTCAAGTTTTATAAAAAGATCTTTCTTCATATAAACCACCAAATTGTTATCCAACAATTCATCTCTCATTTTGTTGCGCAAATCATTCTTGATTAGATTCATAGTAGAGAATACCCTTTCAACACTTACAGTTGCCACAGGTAATATCAAAACTAATGTGATCAGGAAAATAACAAGAACTTACAGTTTCAACCAACTTTTGAGCTACACAAGATATGCTTTTGGGGTTGAAGAAAGTTTCATCCATTCTCATGAGCATAAGAAACTTGTCAAGTTGAGGTCTAAATAATAAAAGCTCTTCACTATTGAAATCCAAAGGATATAACTGAGTAAGTCGTACCAATTTACATACATCAAAAGTTGTAAATGGATCTCTTGGACTTAAACACGAAAAGCAAGTAAAAAACTCAGTAGTTGTTTCTGGAAAACAATCATTCTACTCTTACAGGATTGAATCTATCATATAACATTACAAATAAACATAAAAGCGATGATAATAAGTCACCTGCTGAGTTGCACGCCTAGGTCGACCTTTCAATACTACAATATCATCCATATTGGGCACTGAAATATGTCTATCAATACAAAGTTCAATTACCTTACTCAACAAAGTATCACAACCATTATCTCTCATGTTCTGCAATGCGTACTTACACAATTTCAATAATCTCATAGCATTCTGAATATCCTGATCCCTTTTCTGTATGGCTTGTGAAAGGTCGTCTGTAATTGCAAGAATTTCAAACATAAAATGGAGACTGAACACAAATTGAAAATCTTGCATATTGTCTATCTGTCTTACGGTCATTGATTTTTTCTCTAAACTTACGCCGTCTTCTGATATATTCTCAAGAACATCTCAGATCGCATTAAACATACTAATAAAGCGAGTAATTGTCTTTAGATGTGAGCCCTATCTAGTATCACCCAGGCGTGCCAAACTCATTTCTTGAAACTGATCAGTTCCACCAGAAAGTTCCTCAATATTAAGCCTCTTCAGAATTTCAGAATGATAACTTGTTCGAAGAGCATCTACACGTTTACATGATGCACCGACCAAATTCACAACAACAGCAAGCATGTTAAATAAATCACTAAGCATAACATTCCTATGTGCCACGGAAACAACTTACAACTGAAACTGTTGATTAAAGCAATGAACATACATAGCACAAGGGTTCTCTCTTAAAATTAAAGCTTTTAAACCATTGAACTCACCTGACATATTGCTAGCTATCGTAACCTTGACCTCTCAGGCTGGATTTGCTCAACCCATGTATAGAAAACATTACATCAATGTCATCCTTTAGTGATTGGGCACAAGTATTAGCGATGTGGGAAATGCCCAACAAACGCTTCTTTACTTGCCCACTTTTGTCAACAAACCTCAAAACAACTATCATTTGTTCTTTTATAGAATTATCACGAGACTCATCAACCAAAATTGAAAACAAAGAATCACCCATCTCATTGATCATACACCTAGTCGTCTCTACAGCACAAAAATTAACCAAATCTTTATGGATGCTTGGTGAAGTCATTTGGTTATTTCCAGGAGCATTACTAAATAGTACTTCATTAATTTTCTTACGACGAGATGCATACCAATTTAGTAGCTCAATTAGATTCCCTTTATTAAGAGACTCTTTTGATTCATCATGACTACGAGGTGACAATCCTTGCATAAAGAGGAATCTAGTATAGTCTAGCACCGCAGTCAAACTTGTCCTATAATTTTTCTGTTGACTACTAATTTGGCTAAATAACATAGGAGATACTTTGCTTTTGATTCATCAAATTGGTACACTTTGCAAAAGCTTGATTATGAGCACTATCAATGAGCTCGACATGATCTTTCAATGTATTATTGTGCTTCTAATCCTTAAAGCCGATCTTAGTGAATATATGTCCACCCCCTTGACCCCCTCTATCAATTTTGAACAAGTAGCAATGCAAACAATAAGTCGCATCATTTTATATACTGTACTCCAACCAATAAAATTCAAAAAATCATTCTTTTCGAAAACACCTATTATCATTTTCTATCCATCTTCTTGGAAAGTCGTGTCCATGTGGTTGATAAGGACCTTTTTCTAAATATGTCATCCTAACATCATCTCTACTATTAGGATCATATGATTCGATAGGGGCATTTTCCAGGATTAGATACAAGACCATCCACATTGAATTGAGCTCGAGACTTCTTTGTGCTATTTAATAACTCGAGTGCTCGGCTAGAAGCAGTGGCGGGACTAGAAGCACAACTAGAACTAGAGAACTAGGTATAGGCTTTCGTTTCAATTGAAAAAATTGTTCCATAATCTGCAAAATGCCCTAACTTAATTTTCAATTACAATTGATTAAAAAATCAACAATTCAACAAAAAAAAAAAAAAAATCCCCAAGTGTTTTACAATATTGTTAGCATGCATATCATTCAATAGTATAATAGGAATTAGGAAATATAATTTTTATCGTGGGTATATGCGATTTTTCCCTATTTCTTTTCTCTTAACTCGAATTAATATCCTATGATTTCATTTCGGATCATCACAGAAGATGTGTGGATCAGCAATTATGAGTCTCGAATCAATTCAATCTTACATTCCGAACAAAACATTTATTGATTGATTCAGTGAAATATGCATGAATAATTTTATTTTTTCTAATAAATTGATTTAATAAACTACTTAATGGAGATTGAATTAAAAACTTCAATGGTTTATATCACTAGAATATTTTTATTGGACTCTTTAATCCCAACGAATAAATTAATAAATAATAATGGACAAAAATAAGCATAAAAAAATGATAGAATTCGTAATTTATTTATGCCATCCCATCCATATTATATCTTCACAATCACAAATTGATATTATAAATTAAATGCTCAACCTCAACAATTTCTAAACCATCTATTATCTATATATATCAGAGAAAGCTGAGCAAATATTGAAAAATTGTCCAACTTCACCACTCACCAACAAAAAGTAAACTTCGAAACAAATAAAACTTGGCAATTGATATGAAATATTAAAAACTGCTTACAAATTAACAAGTGACATAGAGAGATAGAGAATTATGTATTTTCAAGAACAGGTAAAAAGCCTATAATAATACTGATTTTGATGGGAAGGAAATTGGAAAACGGTACTGATTCGGGAGGGGAAAGAAAAGCTTGTTGTTCGCTGCTGCTATGGGCTGCCTGCTGGTGCAGGAGTGCTAGTCAGCTGGTCGGTCCTCTCCGATTCCGAGTCTCCGTCTACAAAGTGTGATGTGCGAAGTGCGATCTGCCCTAGTTTGCTGGCGGTAGTGGACTAGTCAGTAATGTTTAGGCCTTTAGTTAAGGGAATAATCTGTTATATGGTAATGGATTTGAGAATGCTCATTTGGGGTTTTTGGGTCTGATTTTATAAAATAAAATAAAATAAATAGAGGCCCAAAAACATTTGAAACTGCCGACCCAACAGCGGCAGCTGCGGCACATGCCCACAGCCAAGAAAATGTCTACATCTGAAAACAAAACCGTCAGTCCACTGTCCACTCTCGACGACCCGCGGTCGGTGGTTCCGGCGAAGCCAGTTAGGCTGGCCAAACTACATCCGCCACTGATTTTAGTCCTATTATTTATTTATTATTCACTACTATTCAATCCTTTTTAACAAACATCAAGTCCAAAGCAAATAATTTGCTAAGTAAATGTCGTATTGAACAACCTTTTCATTTACTATTTTAAAATTTTGCCTTTGGCATTTATTAACTCATAAATAAAATTTACACAAAATACGTAGACCAAAATAAAGTCAGTCGAATGTTAATCGCCTCGTGATGTATGTCTGTTTCTTGTATTGTCAATAACTCAATATATACAAGTAACCTAATTATATATTTTTTAAAAATTTTATAGTTATACCTTTAAATATAGTCACTTTTATAGTTGCTTTCTTATATAGGAAAAAAAATAATTAACTTTAAATATATAATTAATGTTATTAATATTTGAAAATATAATTGACTTTAAACACAACTTTCTTAGCTCGTGTTTGGGCTCTTGAATTCAAAGAAAACTTCCTTTGCCGTCTGAGCTCTCTCCTTCCTTTCCGGAGTGAGGGTATTTGTAAATAACTATGCCCACCCCATGTTTATAGCCCATCTTTAAGCTCTTTTTTAGTTTATTTATATTTATCCCCAGAATAAGTCTCTCAAATAGGCCTTTTCGATCGGATCTCTCATAGAGAAACTTAAAAATATAAAAAAGCTCCGATGAGGCTCACATGGGCTATGGTTCTGAGCTCACCAGGATCTAATAACGTGATGTCCACATTTTATTCAAAATGCATTTGTCTGTCTCCACTTTTCAATCATACATTCTCTAATATTTTCTTATTGAATGGAGCACTACATTATCTTGGCATGCACTTAACCATAGAACTGAGCTTCAAAATAAGACACTTTCAACTCTTTATAAAAAATTCCCAACCCTCTTTTAGAAAATAAAGATATCTCTTATTCAGGAAATTCATCAAAATTTTCATTATGTTCCTACATGGTATTATCATCATCATCATCATTGACTATTATTTTTGCTCTTGGACTTGACACAGTACAAACATGTTTTGAGTAAAGTGCCTCGATTTGAAATTGAAATTGCAATTATTTTCTTATTTAAAAGAGGTAATTCCATTTTGTTGTTTGAGTAACAAAGTTCGTATTGGGACTATGTGATCATTGGATTTTGTCATTTGTACCCGGAGTGATATTGGAACTATGTGATCATTGAATTTTGTCATTTGTACCACGAGCTTTACACTCCGGGTTACCCACCCCTCACATGAGGTGCGGGTAACCTGGAGTGTAAAATTTCGGGTACCTGTAGCAATATCCGTGATCATTTTATTAATCATGTGAGCATTGAAGGTTTTTGACAGCCAACTAAATCACTTTATTAACGAGTTAACTGTCATCGTAATATAAAATAATAATAATAATAATAATAATAATAATAATAATAATAATAATAATAATAATAATAATAAGTGGCCTAATTGACTAGGGGTAGGCAAAATAAACATAAAAAAATCGACCAAACCAAATCAAGTCGGATTCGATTTGGGTTGTTTGGAACCAAAAAATTGGTTTGATTCAGTTAATTTTAATCATTAAAAAGTTGGGTTGGGTTCGTTACGGTTTAAGCAACCAACCCATTAATTAATCGATCCAACGCGCGAATACATTTTTTTTAATTTTAAAATTCATCTTTTTAAAGGTTATAATAATAATAATAACAACACAAATATATTTTATCTCAAATAATTTGTTTACCTTCTACATTTTTTCTACCAGAACTCTAAATGTCAAAAGAAAAGAAAGCAAGAAAAAGAATTGTTTGAGTAAACTTCGAATTTAGATTGTAGCCTTACTTTCATTTTGGGGTAATTTTTTGTTGGTAACTATCGGATTTATATATGATGATGATTTTGAAAATAATTGATTATATATATAATATTTATATGCATCACGTAAGAAAAAAAAATTATATGTATAAAAAACAAATGTTTTAACCCAATATAGGTCGACAATTTTTTTATCTACTCGCACAAACTTCAAACCGATTAACCAAACCAAATCGATTTGGTTCGGTTTCAACGACTAGATTGAGTCTTGATTTGGGTTGGAATTTATCCAAACCGATCAAGCCGGTCTTGGTTTCGAGTTGGACTCAAAGTCAATCCAACCCAAACCATGTCCAGCCCTATAATTGATTGATAAAAGGGAAATTATCAAAAATGACACTTTTTTGAAAATTGCTATAAAACTTTTCATGTGGACTAAATTTTATCAAAAATGTCACTTTTTTTGGTGGAAAATATCCAAATTACCCTTAATCTTCCCTTTTTAGGAGCATTAAATGCTCATTAATGGTAGCCTCCAATCCAATCAATTGTAATGATTTCATTATTTAATATGTATAATATAATGATTTGATAAATGTATATTATATTGTATAATATGAATTGACTAAAAAAAAAGAGAAAAGACGTAAAAAAAAATTTAAAAGAAGCAAAAATAAGATAAAAAAAGCAAAACAATCCTAGTTCACATCAAATACATCCCTTCTTGAAAAAACCCTCCATTTTCTTTCATCTTCTTTATTCCTTCATCAACAATATATTGCTATTCAATTCATCATCCATTTGGAGAGGTTAGTTATTACAAATTATTATATTTTTATGTAATAGCTTATTATTTTTTACATATTAAAAGCAACATGATCATCAAAGTGAAGAAAACATTTAAAACCACTATTAATGATGATGGTATTGTTTTTTCTTTTTCAAATCATTTTAAAGGGAAAATATACCAAAAATATTTAGGAAAATGTCAACTATTCCATATTTAATGAAGCAGTCATTTGTTTATGGAGATCTGTAGAGCAATGGAATAATTGTTGTAGTTGAGAATTGATTATAACCATTAATATTTCGGAGAAAGTAACAAACAAACTGGCGTTAAACTTGTCGGCGGTCTCGACAGTTTATCTGTCAATCTCGACGGTTATACATGTCGATCTTGACATTTATAAACTGTCGAGATCGACAGATAAACTATCGGGATAGAGTTTTAAATTGTCAAAGTCGACAGTTGAAAACTGTTGACACCCTGCATTTCACATTCTCCTATTGCATTGGTTTAAATATTCGAAAGTGCCCCTTCGATGATATTACATATCGACATATTGACTGTTCATAATTCTTATCGTTGTAATCCCT